TTCCAAGTATGAATTGCGCAATGACCGGAAGTCCAAGATTCTTGATGTGTCTATTGCACGGGCCTTCACTACAGGAAGGCGGAGGTCCTGCAGGTGTTTCTTTAGTTCAGTGCTGCACGGGGAGTCACTGATTTACCCAGATACCACTGGAAGAAAAACTGTGATTGGTCCATTTCATTCCATTATATTAACCCTTTGTTTCCCAAGAAATATTAGTCCAAGTTTTTAACAGTGAGCTACACTGAAAAAAAAAGGTTGCTGGATTTGCGTAAAAGTTATGGAAAGCGGTTGCATGCAATAAAATTATGTTTAGGCTTTGAAACTTATTTTGATCTCCTCTACACATATTTTTCTCAGAACATGAACATCACTTTTTCATGTTGATGAAATTTGATCAAGTCATGCTGAATATGCATATTTATCTTATGGTACCTTATCATGAAATGTATAAGTATGTATAATTTAATTTAATTGATCTAATTCTGTAAAAGAATACAAAAACAGTCTTTAGTTTTCCACAGATCTGTATTGTCTTAAACAGAATCAAACACAAAGAGCACAGGGACAGAGACACACAGTTTGGAGCTGGACAGTGTGAAGATTTATTCCAGTGAAGAAGCTCTGGTCTCTGCCTGTGGACACACGAATAACACATGATGATCACATTCTGATGATCTACTGTGTTGTACATGTTTAAATACATTTAAAGTACCTGTAATGGACCAGAACAGAATCACAAGAACATTAGAAGTGTATCTGCAGAAACAAAACTCACCATGTGCTGCTTTTCTTCCTCTAAACACAGTAACAGGGAGGGCATCTGGTATAAAGTCCTCCTAATGCCACATCACCCTGTAGAAGCACGATAACTGTTTCAATAGGAAGTTCATTTTGAAAAATTTTAAAATAATTTTAGTTGGTTTACTTACTTTGTTCATCTGTGGTCTGTGTTTTGTTCTCAAACATCTTCCTTTTTTCTGAAATATCAGCTGTAACATTCATGATCTTCCCCTCAGCTCCAGCAGAACCTGGACGTCTCTGTGTTTGTAGACGACTCTGGAAGCAACACATTTAAATCTTAGTACAAGTGTCACACTCTTGTAGATGTAGAGTCAAAGACAATTTGTTTCAAGGAGTCCTTACATTAACTCTAATTTCAAATAAAACACCACAAACATGTTTTAACAGTGACTAGGCCGGAGAAGCACATAATAAAATCTTTAAAAAGTCTTACCTCCAGATCAGTTCTCATAATCCTCCTGCTCCACACTGTGTGTCTCTGCTCCTGTAACTCTCCTGTGTCCTGCTACATCTGAATTTTCCCTCCAAAAGTTTTGGGGAGGAGAATTCCAGAGGGAGGAGCCTCACCAGAGATTATAATAAAGTCATGTTTCCTCAACCTGATTAAAATATGCAGGTCTCACATTCGGCCACAATCAAGTGACCTTTGTAAGATTTAAACATGCTTGACAGAGAAACGTAAAAAAGTGATGTTATTGTTGTCAAATTTGTTTTTGCAATTTGAGCAACCCCCCTCAGACCGTTTTTTCAGTGTAGAAGTGTTGTGTTTATTACTCACTGAATAAAAACTATTGAAAAAATATATTAGTAGTACAAAAATTCTTTCAATTTTTTTTTCTTGGGCATTCACTGAATACCTTTAAGGCCCTGAGGGTTCCCCTCTGGATTTGTGTGATGGTTCAGTGTGGTTTTCTCTCTCGTGTTACAGAAGCGAGGACTCAAACTGGTGACCAACCTCTTCATCCGGACGCCCTCTTGTGTGAACTTCAGAGGGATCGAGTACCACGGGCAGTCCCCCGGACTGTACAGAACCGGCATCAGGTGTGAGTATCACTTTACAACTATAACAACAATAAGAAAAGTACTGGGTTAGTTCTGACTCAGTCCTGTTCAGCCCTGGTTTAGTTCTGGGTCAGTCCTGATTCAGTCCTGGTTCACTCCTAATTTTCAGTTTCAGATATTCCTGTGATGATGAATATGATAATTCCTGAGGCGCTAATAGAGTATGACAGTGATTCTCCTCCTCCTCCTCCTCCCATCGTCACGGTCCGGACCTTCTTCCCCGAGACCTGGATCTGGGACCTTATGGAAGTGGGGTGAGTCTGCACACTCCTCGCTTAGTCCCAGTTTAGTCTTGGTTTTATTTTAATCCTGGATTAATCCTGGTTTAGTCCTGGTCTAACTCTGGTCTAGCCGTGGTTTAATCCTAGTCTAGCTGTGGTTTAGTCCTGGTTTATTCCTGGTTTAGTCCTGGTTTAGTCCTGGTTTAGCTCTGGTTTAGTCCTGGTTTAATCCTGGTGGTGATCCTCCAGACCCTCGGGCCAGGCGTCTCTGTCCGTCTCCGTCCCAGACACGATCACGTCCTGGGAGACGGACGCCTTCTGCCTGTCCTCGGATCAGGGAATCGGACTGGCAGCCCGGCAGCAGCTCACCGTGTTCCAGCCCTTCTTCCTGGAGCAGGTCCTGCCCTATTCCATCATCCGAGGAGAGAGCTTCATCCTGAAGGCCACGGTCTTCAACTACCTCCAGTCCTGCATCATGGTACAGCACGAGCAGTAGTAGTAGTAGTAGTTGTAGTACTAGTAGTAGTAGTAGTAGTAGTAGTAGTAGTAGTAGCAGTAGTAGTTGTATTAGTAGTAGTCATGGTAGTCATGTAAAAGTTGTAGTAGTAGGTTGAGGTTCAGGCTCAGGTATAACCATAACTTTGCTTTAGTCCTGGTTCAGTCCTGTTTTAGTCCTGTTTTAGTCCTGTTTTAGTCCTGGTTCAGTCCTTGTGGTCACAGTTGTCCCAGTGTCATGTGAGTGTCTTGCTCGTGGGCACAGGTGCAGTGTGACCTGTGTTCTCTGTTCTTCAGATGGACGTGCAGGCGGCGCCCTCTGCTGGCTTCACCCTCACGCCTCTGTCCTCAGACCAGTACAGGTCGTGTCTCTGCGGCAACGAGCGCAAGACCCTGAGCTGGATCCTGCTCGCCTCCTCCCTCGGTAACACGGCAACACCACAGTAAAGACACACTGCGGAACCTTCTGGAGGCGCTCACTGTGTCAGCCCACGGAAACACAAACATAAAACCAGACAACAGTTTCCATGGAGACAAGCAGACCAAGGCCCAGTACGGGTCAAGTTTGTGGAGATGCAAGCCTGCTCATAGGTTTAGTAGTAGTAGTAGTAGTAGTAGTAGTAGTAGTAGTAGTAGTAGTAGTAGTAGTAGTAGTAGTAGTAGCAGTAGTAGTAGTAGTAGTAGCAGTAGTAGTAGTAGTAGTAGTAGCAGTAGTAGTAGTAGTAGTAGTAGCAGTAGTAGTAGTAGTAGTAGTAGTAGTAGTAGTAGTAGTAGTAGTAGTAGTAGTAGTAGTAGTAGTAGTAGTAGTAGTAGTAGTAGTAGTAGTAGTAGTAGTTGTAGTAGTTGCTAGTAGTAGTAGCAGTACACATATTTTTAGAAGCTTAACCAAAGTAAAAACAAAATAAAAAATGACACAGTGGAGCTTTAAAGCCACACTGTGGAACATGTCACATAAGTAACAGGACAGTTCAGGAGTTTTTATTGGTGAAACGTCCCATGAAAATCATGTGTGAGCGGACTCGCCTCTCCATAGACCCGACTTGTCTTAGTTCAGTCCTGGTTTAGTCTTGGTTCAATCCTGGTTCAGTCCTGGTTTAGTCCTGGTTTAGTCCTGGTTTAGTCCTAGTTTAGTCTTGGTTTAGTCCTGGTTTAGTCCTGGTTTAGTTCTGGTTTAGTCTTGGTTTAGTCCTGGTTTAGTCCTGGTTTAGTTCTGGTTTAGTTAGTCTGGTTTAGTCCTGGTTTAGGTTTAGTCCTGGTTTTAGTCTGGTTTAGTTTAGTTTAGTCTGGTTTAGTCCTGGTTTAGTCCTGGTTTAGTTCTGGTTTAGTCTGGTTAGTCCTGGTTTAGTCCTGGTTTAGTCCTGGTTTAGTTCTGGTTTAGTCCTGGTTCTGGTTTAGTCCTGGTTTAGTCCTGGTTTAGTTCTGGTTTAGTCCTGGTTTAGTCCTGGTTTAGTCCTGGTTTAGTTTCTGGTTTAGTCCTGGTTTAGTCCTGGTTTAGTTCCTGGTTTAGTTCTGGTTTAGTCCTGGTTTAGTCTGGTTTAGTTCTGGTTTAGTTCTGGTTTAGTTCCCTGGTTTAGTCTGGTTTAGTTCTGGTTTAGTTCTGGTTTAGTCCTGGTTTTAGTTCTGGTTTAGTTCTGGTTTAGTCCTGGTTTAGTTCTGGTTTAGTCCTGGTTAGTTCTGGTTAGGTTTAGTCTGGTTTAGTTCTGGTTTAGTCCTGGTTTAGTCCTGGTTTAGTTCTGGTTTAGTCTGGTTTAGTTCTGGTTTAGTCTGGTTTGTTCCTGGTTTAGTTCTGGTTTAGTCCTGGTTTAGTTCTGGTTTAGTCTGGTTTAGTCCTGGTTTAGTCCTGGTGTTAGTTCTGGTTAGTTCTGGTTTAGTCCTGGTTTAGTTTAGTTTATTCTGGTTTAGTCCTGGTTCTGGTTTAGTCTTGGTTTAGTTCTGGTTTAGTTCTGGTTTAGTTCTGGTTTAGTTCCTGGTTTAGTTCTGGTTTAGTTCTGGTTTAGTCCTCTGGTTTAGTCCTGGTTTAGTTCTGGTTTAGTTCTGGTTTAGTCCTGGTTTAGTCTGGTTTAGTCCTCTGGTTAGTCCTGGTTTAGTTCTGGGTTTAGTCCTGGTTTAGTTTGGTTTAGTTTTTCTGGTTTAG